CAGGTTATTCTCATGCTGCTGTTAATCTGGAGATCAACAGACACTAGCGGCCCGCGCATATGATTATATAATCAGACAACGTCCGTTAAAAAACATTATAACACATAATGAGACGCTCTGCAGTGGAGGGGCGTTTCACCGACGACAGGTGTTCTACTTTGATGTAGTTGACGGAGCATTTTTACTTTACACGACACTGTTCAACACTTCATTCTGCTTCACTCTTTAACTACCGCGGATGTCTTAAAAGACTCTTTCGCTAAAGATTTTTAAGACATCTGCGTTCTTGTGACACGTAAACACTGCGCTTCCTATGTTTTGGTGCGGACTGCGTTCACACCAGCAATGAACCGCTCCAGAGTTCACAAGCAAGCGCTCTGAGACCACCTATTTTAGCGGACCCGAGTCCGGTTGTTTAGTTCACTTAAGAGGTCTCAGGCTGCGTTCACACCGACCCAAATGAGCCGCACCAAGCGGTGAAACGCACCAGGGTTCGATTCAACCGGACTATACAAGGCAGGTGTGAATGCGACCTTAGTCATGCTTAAGTCCTACTAATGTCAGGCTAAAGTCTGACCCTTTAGCCTGGTGCAGTTAAATCTATAAACTATTGTAATACAACATTTTAATAATGAAAACAATAACAATGATTCTCTGGTTCTGCCCTCAGCCGGTTAAAGACTTCAGCACCTTCTTCTCAGCTGTGATAGACGACAAGGTGAAGCTTCCTTCAGCGGCTTTTCAAAATAAAGTCCTCGTGTTTGTGTTTATTATTATTCATCTTTTATTATCTGCTGTATTTCTGTAGTCGTTTGCTCGGATAAAGAAGTGGCTGGATCACGCCAAGTCCTCCCCCAATCTGAAGGTCATCGCTGGGGGAAACTATGACGACAGCAAGGGGTACTTCGTGGAGCCGACCATCATCCAGACCTCCGACCCGAAGGACGCCATCATGAGCGAGGTCACTTCCTGTCTATAATCACACTGGCATGCCACTTCCTGTCCATATTTTCTGTCCATAATCACACTAGCACGCCACTTCCTGTATATAATCACACTGGCATGCCACTTCCTGTCCATAGTTTCTGTCCATAATCACACTAGCACGCCACTTCCTGTCCATATTCACACTTCCAGGCCACTTCCTGTCCATATTTACACTAGCACGCCACTTTTTAAACAATTTTATTTTGCAGTCAGTTCTTGACGCTTTTATTTTGAAAGGAGTTCATAGCTTCTTTTATTTTGAAGTCAGTTCTTGTCGCTTTTATTTTGAAATGACTTCTTGATGCTTTTTATTTTGAAGTGAGTACTTGGCCACCTTTATTTTGTAGTCAGCTCTTTTTGGCTTTTATTTTTGAAGTGAGTTCTTGATGCTTTTATTTTGAAGTCAGCTCTTTTTGGCTTTTACTTGAAGTCTGTTCTTGATGCTTTTATTTTGAAGTCAACTCTTTTTGGCTTTTATTTTGAAGTCAGTTCTTTTTGGCTTTTATTTTGAAGTCATTTCTTTTTGGCTTTTATTTTGAAGTCAGTTCTTGATGCTTTTATTTTGAAGTCAGTTCACGGCCGCTTTTATTTTGAAATGAGTTAACAGGCACTTTTTTTAATGTCAGTTCTTGATGCTTTTATTTTGAAATGACTTGTTGATGCTTTTTATTTTGGAGTCATATATATATATATATGCAGGGGTGCACATAACTTTCTCAGTGAGGTAGTCAGTGTTTGGTACTCCAACTTCTGGCTCCACTGAAAGTTATTTGATGAAGCCCTCTGTATCGCGAACGTCAATGGGGGGTGGGGGCTTG